TAACGTACATTCGCGCGTGGTTACAAGGTTCTCGGAATCGTTAGCTTCGATGAAGCTACGCTACCGTCAAGATCTCGCTACAATCCTACCAGGCAATACAACAAAGATAAGCCTCACAAGTGGGGCGCGAAGGTGTTTGTGGCAGCGTGCACGAAAACAGCTTACTGCATGAGGTGCGGTAAATGTGGCAAGCATTGGCTTGCTATATATATTTTTTTGGTTGAAGTTCTTATGTTGGACCGACCAACTTTTGCATTGTCGAAGCTGGTCATGTCCAACATAATGCTAAGTCTGCTAACGCTCGTTTTTTTTTCAATGCTATTTTTCAGGATTGAGGTGTACTTGCGAAGCTAAAAAAAAACACCCCCGTTCCCGCTGACAACAACTGCGGAGAAGCTGCCGTACTCAGGAATATGAATGCGTTGTGCCCGCCACCTCCGACATCCCCGTGGCGTTTGGTCGATTTTACACGTCGGTGAGGCTGACTTTGGAGCTTTTACATAGACGGATGTACATTAGGGGCAAAATTCAAACACAGATGTCGGGGTATGCGAAGGGTGTAAAGACGGATAAGACTGTAAACGGTGTGAAGAGCTCGTTCCTCCACCGGGGACAATCTACTGCCGCAATGTGGATGGATCGCAACCCGGTGTACATGCTGAGTCGTGGTGGCAGCAGAGCATCGGTCGGTGTCAGTAAGTAGGTTTTGTTTGGCTATCTATCTGGACTAGTGCTAACAATTGCTGCAAATGATTTAGTGCGTCGAATCAAAGGGGGGATGGAGGAGCTCTAGGCACTGGGGCTGATTCGTGACTACCAACAATACATGGGAGGTGTTGGTGTGCACGACCAGATTCGGATGCAGCGCTATAGCATCCAGCTCTCGTACAAAACCCGGAAGTACTACAAGACGCTGTTCTTGGTATTGCTGGACATGGCGTTGGTGGACGCATTTATAGTGCACAGATACTGCTGCCGCACAAACGGCCAGAAACCACCCAAGCATTACGAAATTTACGAGACGCTCATGAACACCTACTTGCTGTCGATGCAGCGGCATTTGCGGACATTGAATTAAGTTGCTATGATGACTTGCAACATAATCGAGGTTACTAATGACTCTTATGCTGACGATGTATGCGTTGTGTACAACGCCACCTCCGCCGAAGATCGCACGGCGGCTTCACCGGTTCGCCAAGACGAGGGGGACCCACAGGTAGCTGCGACCGCATTGATGATGGCCACTTACTTGCTGAAAACCCGGATAAGGCGAGAAGCGGCGCCACAGGACATGCAAGATCTGCGCTATCTACAAAGTGGTACCCCGAAAGTTCACGAAAGATTTCTGCCCGGAATGTTCAGAAGGAAGCAAGTGGTTCGTACTTGGGGTTCGGGGTTCACTAATGTGCTAATAGCGCTGACGATGGCTTGTACTGTAGGAAATACTTGTTTAACGTGGTTCATGAGGGGCAGGAGCGCACGTGCTTTCAAATATGGCGCATTGACTGGAAAAACGGAAACGACATATTGCTTGCTTCGCGACCACAAAATGCGCGACCGCGCGCCGGCCCAACAACCTGGCATGAAACGGCGCCGTCAACAAGATGCGACTGGGAGCGTGACTGAAGTGGCGGTGGATGGCTCGGATACGGTAGCGCGTGTGTTTGAAGGGGATGCATCGGAAGATGACGTTGGCGTGGCCGCGAACGAAGCAACTGCAGAAAGAAGTTCGTATTGGTAGTACGTGTTTTTATCTTTGTAATCAATTGACTTGTGCATGCTTTGGTTTGTTTCTATTGGCTGCTCATCTTCGCTGGACGTGTGCAATGTTAGACAAACGATGATCCCCAATATACAGGCCATTTTTATGTTGGATTGGCCATCATGTAAGGTGAAATGCCTCGGATCAGCCAACCTAAGATCGATGGTATGTTGGATATGTTTTTTCCTTACACACATCAACCCTGTACTATCCAATTGCATAACGGGACGAAAAGTATCCCCATACAAATTCCTATACTAAATTGTGTTGGAGCTCCAACATAAGAACAAAATATACCCCCACTTTGTCCCGGGAAGTAAGCGGTTAACTCAGTGAAAACTTGCACTGGCAACATTATGGAAGTTAAAATCGTACATAAACTTTAAATACGGACCACATCGATTGTCTAAGCGTTGTAC